ACAACTGTATATTGGGAAATCCCCTAGAAATGTTTCAACTATTATAGCTTGTGTAAAGAAATCTCCACTAAATCAAATTTGTTCCTGTTTGCTTTTCATTACCTGGCATCGCATCTCCTTTTTGTCATTTTCTCCTTTCGAAGCGATGAGAAAATATGACCAGCAATCTGGGATGTGGCCGGTGCATAATCAAATTGAGTTTACAAAAGATTCCATCCTTGCTCAAATTGCCAAAGGGGAAACGAATAAAAACATTGTTTTCATTTGGGCTTGGCCAAATTGAGATTGCGCCAGACTCGGACGAAGTTCATGGCTTTTGGCCAAAGGAGGAGGAAAGTGAAAAGCTGTCCAAATTGCCAATTAAATTACAAGGCAGGGCCCAGGAACAATGTGAGAAACGGCGGTGCGGGCAAATCCAAAAGTCCAAGGGAAAGGAAAGGAGTTCAAGGGAGGGGGCCTGTTAAAATTGCATTTTCCGGAAGGGGGGGTGGCGACAACAGCTGAGCTGAGAAAATCGCAAGCAAAACAGAAGAAAAAGCGCATTCAGGACAAGAGGAGGGGGAAAAGCACATGTGTTGGCCAGAAAAAGTAGACGCAGAGGCGCCGGCACTTGGCGCCGGATTTCCTCGATGATGACACACAAAAAAATAACAAACCGAAACTTGGGTAAACTTTCCTTTCAGTTTGTTTCTCGTCCGGGTGATTTTGTGCTGGTCGGCCGCACAAAACTTGCCATTCTTTGCCACAAATTCAATTTACGTTTATTTGCGAAAATTTTGCCGCCGCTGTCCTTGGTGTCCTGGTGGCCGGGCGACCTGCGACCCTTTTGGCCCCGCCCCACGGAGCTGCTTCTCTCGGTCTGTTTTCTATTTTCCGCCCAACACACACGCACGCACACTTGGCATTTTTAATTTGCACTGCCGTTCGAAATTGCTTTTGAAATGGCATTTTAAAAATTTAATTGCCAGCTGTGTCTACTCATCTCTCTCTCTGCTTCCTCCATGGAAGATGCCTCGCAGCGGCGTCTGAGTGTCCATTAAGGCAACTGCAACACCGAGTTGCAAGTCACCGAGGACACGGAGGAAAAATTCACCAGATTCATCTCTTGGTCCTTGAATAGTTTTATGTTTCTTATATGTTCTATGTAGCATAAGCTAGTACAAGCATTCCGACCATTCCTGGACTTAAAACAAAAAGGTTTCGCTATTCTTTTTCTTTTCAGCCTTAAAGCTGTGAGTAATGCCTTGTTTAAATGTGTTTAAGTAACTCTAAAAGTAAGCTAATGCTGTAGAATTCATTTATTTTGATAAGACACTTTTTTAAAATCTTGTATCTATTGCAATTAAATCTGATAATAAGAATAACATTCGATTTTAAAACACTTTCTTTTGATATTGAAAAATATCTAAAAGGTTATGTGGTATATTCAGAAACTATTTTATAAATAATATATAGGTTCAATAAAATAACTTTTAATTTAAAAATAAAAAAATAAAAAAATAAATAAAATAAAAAGTTAAAAATGGCAAGCCACTGATTTTAATTTTAAAACTCTATCTAGAAACTTAACATTTTAACAATTTATATAAGGACACGGACTTAAAAGTTCATTATTTTCTTCCGTGCAAAAGTCTGTGGGCGGTGGTGAGGCGTTCTCGTTTTCGTTTCTGTGTCATGTTTGTCAAATTGACTGAAGTCCTTTCCCACTGCCCTGCTGCCGCCCCTTCTCCACTATGGTGCTTCTTGTTAATGTCCTGTCCGCTTCTTGTCGCTCCTGTTCCGTCCTGTTTACGCAGTTGTTGGCTTCTTTCTTGTGGCCTCCGGCAAGGAGCTCAGGAGCCAAGGCGTTGGGAGTGCGGAAGGAATTGGAAAAAGCGAACAGGATACAAAAATGCAAGCCATGTCTATGACATTTCCGAGAGGCTGTCAAAAAAGTACCCGGTAACTATTTAGAAAATACCACTTAAAACTAATTGAAAATGAGCCGACGAGAAATAAAATGTCATACTATTGGAAAATGGAAGTGGCAAAGACGATATGGGATTTATTTTGTAAGATTTTAGATTGGAGTGGTAATGATAAAATACAATTAAGTTAAAAAATATCCTTTAACTATTTATCTCAACGCGTCAGGATCAAATTGCTTTCCCAACTTTCTGAAGCTGCCGCTCAGCTTTTCTCAATTTGACAGACCGCTGTAGATGGATTTTCTTGTCTGAAGTGCTTCTGAGCAGCACTAGATGGGGAAATCAGGGCTAATGGCTCCTGACTTTCCGCTGACGCATTTCGACCGACTTTGCGGCGTGTTGAGCCAACCACTCGACGTGCTGGGCAGAAAATTAATATTCCAATGGCAATTACGCCCCAAATTGATTGATATGCAAATCTATCCAATTACCCCGATGACATATTTTTTAATACATTAACCAATCAATTGTTAAATGACAGATGTGAGAGTGTGATCAAGTAAAAATCAATTTAAGCAGATAGTGAAGTATTTTTAACCAGTTAAATATGCTTATTTAACACAAATAGATAATGTTATATTCCGAATGATGTTATTCACTTAGGGAAAAAACACATGGCCCTTAAAGGCAGGCCAGATTTAATTGCAAGCCGCAAAACATAAGTTGAACAAAAGCGGCCCCGGCGGGACTTACACAGTAAACCTTTTTAAATACGCGAAACAAAATAACCGAGACGGAATCCAGCGAAATCCTAATTGTCATAATCACGAGGGGAGACACTTGAGCGTCCTTTGTGGCGTCAAAAATTAAAACGTGACACAAATTACTCGGTTGGTCTGAGTCCGCCGCCGGGAATCCTTTGCTCCTCTCCTCGGCCAAATGCCATTAACCAGGACAGTGGTGGCAGCTGGCTCTAGGGACTAGGGATTTCTGGGGGAGCGGGAGGGACTGGGCTAGGCCCTGTCGCAGTGCGCCTGCCCCGAGGGGTGAGTCCACCCAGGTCCCAGGACTACAGTCCCTATGTCCCTGTCTCAGCCAGGGTCCGTGTCAGTGGCGAAGGATGTAATTCCTCATGTGAGTACACACTAAGAAAATAGTTATCGAGCTTAGAAATCTAAATATACTAGTCATGTTCCTATTTAATATTGTCACCTATTTAATGTATTTATCTTAAGTATTTAGTGTTCAAAGTAAGTGAGTAAGTAGTGTAAAGATTTAACCACACATCCTCACTCATTTTCGCTGAGTGGACGACTTGTACAATTTTTTCCTTTCGCCACACTCCTGCTGCTCCTTGGTGCCGCACCTCGGGGAGCCTTTGTTAATCATTTTCCCTCTACTCGCAGATTTCGCACGCACGCACATGGGCGTGGAGGGAAGGCTCTGGGTGGGGGGCACTGGGCCATCATTTGCATATGTGTGTACTCGGGGAGGTGTGTGGAGAGTGTGTGCACGGACTGTGTGCGAAGCTATCCGTCTATCCACCTGCCCCGGGCCAGCTGAGCAGCTTTCTTTTACGATGATTGCCGGGATGTAAATTTGATTTAAGGCTTTGGGCCCATAAAGAGGTCCTCTTCCGAAGCCAACGACACTTTAAGAGCCAGATTCCGTCTCTCTGTGGGTCATCAAACCTATGAAAGGCCAGATGCTGACTGCGTTTAATTGTAAAAATGCAATTATCGGCAAACATATGGCGAGAAAAAAGGTCAGACGGAAAGAAACCACACCATTTGGTCAGAAAACTTTAAATACTTTTTGCGATTTCGACACATGTAAGCTCTGAATTTATTTGTTTGTACTAAAAAATGGAAAATCATCGACAAGGAAAAGTTTTTAACACAAATTTTTACAAAGCGAACATATGTGAAAAAAGTGCTAAATGACTTTGCAAATAGGTTCTGGAGTACAAAAATTACGAAATACATAGACCTCATAAAATATATAGAAATATAAAGTTTTGTCTTTTTTAATTTATGTGTCTATTTAACTACCGTAAAATATAGAAATTTACTAATCTGCTTCTGATAATTTCTCAGACTAATGCCTTTATGTTTACTTATTTATAGTAGTTTAATTGATTATAGTCTTACACTTTTCTATATTAAATTGGCTTATATAGTAGAAGAGTGACGGTATATACTGGCCGTCAGGAAAGAATTTCAATTTATTTAAATGCAAAACACTTAAATGGACCATAAAATGGAGTGCTACAAAATTAAGTGTGAAAAGTTTCGTTCCCTAACTCGGAGGAAATGAACTTGCCACCATATGTTTTCCCATTGTGAGCGAGTTTCACACATGCTTAGCAATTTTCCCTATTTCCCATTGGGCCCCGTTCTGCCCACGCCCCTTCTAAGCTCCGTCAACTTTTCCGCCACCTGCAAGCCGCTTTTCTTTTCGTTTCATTCGCTTTTTTCACAAGCCATTAGCAGCTGTTCGGTGCGACGATGAAGGAACGTCTAATAGAAAATACACACATGCGAGGAGCTCCTTGCACGGAGGAAAAATATAATTGATGATAGTTTTATTAAAAAATATGAGCACAATATATATTGGTTTTATTCTCAAGCTTAAACCTAGACTTTCGTAGTTCCCCTTTATAATTGCCAACGCTAAAAATATTAAATCTTGTAGGAAATATTTCATATTTAAAACCATAATCTGTGTTTCAATTATCTATAATTTTAGTTACTATTAATATCAATTTGTTGAATTTTAAAGCCTTTGAACTTTTACTAGGAAATAATAAGATTAAAAATGATTGAGCCTTTAATATATAGTTTAATATTCGCTTTGATTTTGGTTTCCAATTATCTTGGCTTGGTTTATAATTTACGTTTCCTTTTTTGAGCATACTTAAAGATTTAATTATTGACAGCTTGCATGAGTTGGTATAACATTTCAAATTAAATAAATGGGTTCTATTTGGATAGGATATACACATTTTCGAAAACATATTAAACCCATTTTCTGTGTGTGCATGATGTTTAAAATATAAAAAGTAGAAGAAAATGGGTGGTCGGTGGCACTCACCTGGAGCGGGGAACTGCTCCTCGCCATTTGGCTGGATGACGGAAATCTCTGTTGGCTGCTCATCAAAAAGGGGGATACAGCCACTTTCAGTTTTAGTGCCGGCGAAATTTGTGTATTTGTGTGGACTGTCTGTCTGGCGGTGTTGATTTTCGTTTTCCTTCTTTTCAAAAAGAGCGAACTCTTAAAAATTTGACTCGTACGAAGCCTCCCCTGTGTTTATTGCTTTTGTGGCTGTTTTTTAGCCGTTGCCAGCGCAACTCCTGATGGAAAAACTTGGCCAGCAGGAGCAGCTAGAGGCAACGAAAGCCACAACAACAACAACACCAAGCAGGTGTGAGATGTCAGCCGCCCTTAACCGCTCTCACGCACACAACAGCTCATACACACGCGGAAGGAGTCGCCAAGTGTAAATAGAGTAATAAAAAAAAATGTAGGGAAATGAAACAGGAAAAGCTGGCGGAAGAAAAATCGAAGGAGACCCGTCCCGAGAGAGGGCGAAATTAAAAGAGAGAGAGCCTGCCACAGACAGGTCGAGAGAGCTGGAGTGCGACAGAGAGCGAGATCCTGTGCGAGAGCCAATAACAAACTTTCGCCTTTTTGTTTATTTCGCATACAACGCACTAACACTGACACTTTTCTAGGATGCGGCTTTTTAAATGGCCCGAACCAATAAATTTGCATTTCGCTGTTTCATTTTGTATTTTATTTATTCCCTTCCTGCCCGCACGATGAATTCGAATTTCGTTTATTTTTTTCTCCAGCGACTTATTCCGCTATTTTTAACACTCGCACTTTGCGCAACTAACTGTAAATTTACCACACTCCCGCACAAGAAAGCTCCGCAGTGGGCGGCTCAAAAGTGTTTTTAAATAGCGGAGTCCCCTTATATAGTATTGTTAATAAAATGGGTGTATATTGGAATATTTTCTCTAGACATACAGCCAATATCCATGTTTATTGTTGATATTATTTAAATATTGTGTTAGGGAAAACGAACTAGCTTCACGGGCGAAAATCGAGCAATAACAAATAATGTGCTTTGCCTGCTGCTTAAATAGCTTTTGCTTCCAAACATGCTACAATCACAAAAGGTTGTCTCGTCGGGTGCGAAATCGCTTGGGCTCAGTCCCTTAACATTCACTTTAGTTCTGATGGGAATTGTTGCGGGCGAACACACCATTTGCCAAATTAATACTTCTTTTTTGTAAGTACGTTTTAAGCAATATGTATGTACATGATGGGAACTTTTTTAAAAATGAAGGCATAAAAAAAGGAATGAGTGAATGAATTGTAAAATTAAAAATTAAATTTTTAAAAGAAAGGTTTCCGTTATTTTTTTTAATGAACTCGATTTTCCTATGATACTACCTCGTATATTTCCATCATGGTTCCAACCAGTTCGCGTCAAACCCTCTCATGTTCGAAGTCTCAGGTTCGATGCCGACGCACAGTGGTTCAAAATTTATTTATGATGCATTCTAGTTCTGAGGTGTAACTAATAACTGCCTTACAAATGTGACACAATTTTTTGTATCCTATTTTATTTACAAAACCATGAAAACCATTTACTGGCTTACAAAATAATATAATTTTTGCATATGTCGAAAATAAGCTTATTGAATCTTTAACTTTTTTAATAATTTATTACACTATTCGTTTAAATATATGATCTCTAAGCTCTCCTAACAAGCTTTTATTATAAATGCTCGAGCGACAATAAGAATTAAATCTGTTTGAAAGAAATTGATCCGACTCTTAGTATAGTTTTCTAGCAATATATATATAATTTTGTTCCACTGTGCAATGTGGATTCCAACTGGAATGTACTCTGAAATGTGATTGCCATAACAGAGGAAGTCTGCACAGCCGCTATATCGGCTGTTGCTTATGCGGGTGGTAGCGCTGTTACTGTGGCTGTTTCTGTTTACGGGGAAGCAGCTGATGTAACAGAGCATTGTATAACAGTTCAACCTGTTTTAACAGAGGAACAATGGGACTTCGTCTTATGTTTAAGTCTTTAAAATTATAAAATTGATTTTGCTTTTCTTAAAACAGTTCCCATTATTGAAATATTTTTAAGCGAGTATTAAATATGACAATACGAGAAAGGCTATAATGAGATAGATACATGGGAATCACCAATATAATTAAAAACGCTTTCCTAAAATAATCTCTTGTGTACACATTAATTTATTTAATTAAAAATTGAACACTTTGCACTTGGTAGAAAATCTTACAATTAACTTAAGGCTGTAACAGATTCATCGAGGGACCCTAAAGCTATCGGTCCCAAAGTAGTATGTAAAATCATCAGAAACTTTGGGCCAAGGCCCTTTAATGTTTCCTTCGGTCCAATCCATTTGTTGGGCTTAGGAAGCAGTTCTTTGGAGTGGCCAATATGGCAGTTTGATTAATAGTAAAGAGTATAACTACGGATCGATGAAGGATATCATGATGTAGCGGGTTCCCTTGGTCACGAGTAGTCCCTCATGGTAGTGGGTCAGTCGTCCCGGGTGCATCAGCATCCAGCCCTTCTTTGTCTCGGTCACGGAACAGTTGTATCTCAGGAACCGGCAGCCACCGCCCTCGTAGTCGATGCCTGCTCGATTCATGGCGATGTTGATGGTGTACGTGGAGGAGTCATGGTGGGGTCTAAGCGAGGGCTGCTCATCCGGTCGGTAGCGCACCATGAAGTTCATCAGTGAGCGGGGTGGCTGTGAACAAGCGGGGTAAGATTATTTTCAATTCAATTTAAAATCAAATAATAAAATTAAACCTTACGTTTAGATATTATTTAAAACTTACATTATGGAAGTAGCCAGTGAAGACGCGCTCCTGCAAAGGACGTACGAAGAGCTGCAGGAACTTTAGGTAGAGCTGATCCAGCCCCACCTGCTTCATGTGGATGTCCCGCGTGGGCACCGCCTCATATCCGCCCTCCAGTCGAGCGTCGCTGTTGCTGCCATCCGACCAGGTGTTGTGGGCCTCCATGATAGCCACCAGGTCGTCGCAGAAGGCGTCCGTGACGATCTGGAACCAGTAGACATCCGGGCATGGCTGTGGAATTAGGTAGCTTTCATTCAGCTGCACCGAGTAGTTGGGATGTATGTACTTCTGCGCCCAGTCGTATCGGTTGGTGAACAAAGTGTGGAAGTCCGGACGTGTCACCGAACTGTTGAAGTTATCGGCGTTGACCAAGTGTCCGAAGTAGCGCTGATTGGTTAGGTACATGAAGATGCCCTGAAGAGGAGACCACAAAGTTAGTAATTTATTATTATTTTTATTTAAAGTTTTCAACTTACCGCATTCCGCAGAGACTCACACATGGCCATGTCGGGATCGAATTCCTTGTGCTGGAAGGTGATGGCATCGAAGGCACTGTGCTTCACCAGATAGATGCTCGTCACATGGGGCACGTTGAAGATCCCACTGCGAATGGAATGGAATAAATCTGATAAATGAGGTGGCCACAACATTGGGGCCGATGAGCGGCATTGCAAAAGTGTTGCGAAAATGGAAAGTGACCTCGCAGAGACTAAGTCTAAAGACTAAATAGAATTAATTCAATCACAGCGACGAGATTGGATGTGGACATGTGGAACGTTCAGATGGCGAGAGAGCGCAGTTTGCAAACAACATTCCGCGTTGGCGATCGGATTTACGGCTCAAAAATAATGCCTCGTGGCATCTGGAAGCTCGACTGCATCGTTCTCCTCGGGATCTGCTTCTTGCTATTCGGAGACACTATCCATGTGGCAGCCCAAAGTGAGTCGTTCCCCAATCGATTGTGATCAGCTGGATATATAGTATATTGCATTACAGGAAGTACTGCGGGAAAGACCGAGCGACGCAACTATACAGGCAAGAAACCGGTGGTCATCCAGCATCGATCCCAGGATGCAGTCAACTACTACGATCATGAGAATGTGAGTGAATTAACCAGGGTTAGTCGAGTCTCAAAATATATTTTGTAAGCCTTATTTTAGGGAGCCAAGATCATAAAGTCGTCACATTTTGAACTGGACTACACTCTGGGACGTAAAATCACATTCTTTTGCATGGCTCAAGGTGAGTAAGGAATAATTGCTAACTAAGTCAGCTCGCTTGAAAGCACCTTGTTTGTTCCAGGCAATCCACGACCCACAATTACCTGGTTCAAGGATGGAGCCGAGCTCTACCAGCATCGATTCTTTCAGGTAAACCCAGAAAATAAGTATAAATATCTTAATATAAGAGGATTTGTTCTTCTTTTTGGCAAGGTTCACGAGTCTCACATAGAGACAAATATTGTTAAATCAAAAATGGAAATTGATCCAACCACACAAATGGATGCCGGTAAGTAAAATAACATAATACATAGGCATAGGGGAAAAAAAGTAATTGCAATATCTGACACCATCCTAAACATGTTTTATTTATGAAATATATTTAACTCTACATATATTCGTTTTCCAGGTTTTTACGAATGTCAAGCGGATAACATCTACGCCATCGATCGACGAGGCTTTCGCACGGACTATGTTATGGTTAACTTTTAGGACAAACTTTTCCTCAGTCTACGATTTGTCTTTTGGATAATGTACATCACAAATGTAATGCATACATTTTGAATAAAAATATATTTAAAAAGTGACTTTCTTCCGTAACTCCTAGTTGAGTACGACCTTTGTGCGTATTTGTGTGCGCGCGCAAAGCCGACAAATTGGCTCAATTACCCCATTCAAATGATTTTTTTGCATTTATTTTATTAAAATGTGTGGAAAGCAAACCAAGCAAACCGAGGCTTTTTGCTCTTAATGGGAGTCTGCAAACACAACAAATAAAACCACAGTGGGCCAAGGGCTGATTTATAGGTCATTCGAAAATCAAGGACTTTAAATATTTAATTTATTAACTGCACGAAAAGGTTGAGCTCATAAAGATTATTAGCTGAGATGATTATTGAAAATATTTTTAAATTATATAAAAGAATATAATATTTATATTCTGTAAATCCTTTGAGGATTCTTGAAAGTTTTTTTAATATAATAATATATTCTCAAAAATGCAAAAACCTAAGAAACCACTTTTTGTCCAATAAGTAAGGCATATGTCACCATCCAACCCCACTGTGCAACAGAATCCCAGCCAGATTTCTCGAAAAGGGGTGCTCCATGAGCTCCCACAGCGATCGGTAGTATCAAACAAGCGTCCAAATCAAATAATGCGATGGAATTGAGCGAAATATGGAAATGCGGTGCGATGAGAAACCCATCCCAGAACAGCAACTAACAGCGAGCGGGTGAATCTCGAGAGTACAGCATCCAACGGATTAAATCCGCCGGACAATTGTGGCAAATTAGATGCGCAGAGCGGATCCGCAGCCCCGCCGAGTGGATCAGTCGCCGAGCAGACGAGATTCGCACAGCAACGCCACCACCAGAGTGTAGCAGCATTATCCATTACCTGGAGAGTCATCATGCAGGTCAAGTGCCTGATCATCTGCCTTGGATTGGGGCTGCTCATGCTAGCCACGCCCATTTGCGAGGCTCGACGTGGACGTGGCCGTGGACGCACCAAGTCCAGGGTTCAGATCGGATTGCCCATAACGGGCAAATATCGCGATCCAGAGTCTGATCAGTATTACAATAACAACAATGTGAGTGGACATTAAAAGTGATTTGTGGTCATTAATAGCTTGTCTTCTTTTGATTAGTTTGAAATCCTTAAAAACAAGTTATATTCAATTGTGTTCCCTTCCTAAATATATGCTTATTTAAACTCTTTCCTTTTGCCACTAACTCAGTATTAAGAAAGAGAAAAGAAGTGTTAAATAATTAATTGTTCTCCTTTCAGGGTGCCAAAATCCTGCAAGCCTCACACTTTGACCTCGAGTACGTTCTGGGCCATAAGATCGCATTTCTGTGCGTGGCCAAGGGCAATCCCCGACCCCATATCACCTGGTACAAGGACGGGGCGGAGATCTACCAGCACCTCTACATGCACGTCCACGAATGGCGCATTGGCGATGACAAGGTCAAGTCTAAGATCGAAATTGACCCCGCCACGCAGATGGATGCCGGTCTGTACGAGTGTACGGCTGATAATATGTACTCCATTGATCGGCGCAGCTTCAAGACCGATTTCTCCATCGCCTTCGACTGATCAAAATCTCGACCTCAATCTGACAGCCGAAAGGTTAATAAAGTCATTTAAAAATGGAAATTTAAAACAGAATGAAATCTGAGAAGGACTCCTACTATTTTATCTGTAAAGCTAAGATCAAGATTGACTTTTCCATTCCATACGAAAACAGAGGAGATAATCTAAAGCTTTTTCAGTGGGTGAACTAACACTAAATGCTATTCAATAACGATGTTTTTATAAAATTGTTGTATTATATTAATAAACAAACTTGTTAATGACCATTGAGAATACCACAAACGAAAAAAAATCTCTGATACAAATACTAGATTTGAACTGAGCCCTATACTAATAATTTGGTGATATTTTGTTAGCTTTAAATGTTGTAATTAGCCATATCTTTGAATATTTAATCCCATCAAATTCCAGACTTTTTTATATACTTACATCAGATCCCGTTTCACAATGTCCACGTAGTCATGCGACCTGGCATAGTAGCCACCCTCGGACAGGGCGCCCCAGAAGTTGCTCCAAAGTTCGTGGTGTTTGGTGAATAAAGGAGCCGCAAATTGCCTGAAATTTGTCATAAAATCGGTTAGATTGTTGAACTAGGATTTGGCAACCTTGGACCAAAAGATCTTATGATAGCAAGATGAATAACGCAATACTCTAAAGCTTGTTCCACGATCTTTCGAATGGGCTAACGACGACTGTATGTAAGATTGTATTCCCTTACAAGCGCAGTTGTTTAATAATAGGACTTGCTTTTCTATATTAAAACTTTGTGCTAGCTAGATAGGCGTAAATTCGTTGCTTGTAGAAAATTCCTTTAAAATGTATGATCGTTATGCATCTTGTAATTATAAGGTCTTTGCGTTGACCTACTTGTTTAGCCTGAGCAGCTCGCGGAGTACTTCGCCATCATCGATATGCGCATCTGCGTCCAGGAAGAATATGTAATCGCTCTGGTGTAGTCGAGCCTTGTCCCTGAAAATAGAATTGCATAAATGTTGATTATTAAATTGAATGAAAGCCATGATAGCGATAAACTTTAAGTTATCTTCATATATGAGCGACTTACAGGGCCAACTGCCTGCCTTGGCGTTCATTTAGTTCATCCGTGGACAGAGTGTACTTGGCACTGGCATACTTGTCGCCATATTTAGTGACAAATTCCCGGCTGTCGTCGTCGTGGTAGAACACACCACTATACATGAACAAGTGCAGCTTCTTCTTGGGATAGTTTAAGCTCTCGACACCTTCGAGGAACTGGTCGTAGAAGGGCACGGGAGTGGTGACAATCACAGCTAGAGAGATAATCGGTAGATCGTTTTCCTATGACAAAATTATAATAATAATTAATCATATAAAAACTTAAAGTGAATGTTAACAGGAAAACTCACATCCAGGTCTAGTAAATTTTCCTGGCACACCAGACACTGGCCATTAAAAGTCTTGGCCAGATAGTTGGCGTAGGCATTCAGATCCACTTTGCTCAGACCATTGCCATGGATGATTGCTGGCGTTGTCATGAAGTCCACATTCTGCAGGACACCCTGATTGGTATCAAGATCCACTTTGAGCTTCACATCGTTTTTGGCCCCATGAAGGTTTTGGAATAGCCTTGATTGTGTGTCCAGCTTCATGCCCAGCTTGGCGCGCCTTGTTTCATCGAGGAAGACCTTGGTGAAGTACAGCTGGTCATCGGCGGTGTCTTCAATTGGATCCTCCAGCAGTCCATACACTTGCGGGGCATAACCGATAAATGCACCAGAATTGAGGAATCGCGATCCCTTTCCTTCCACTTCTGGATAATCGTTGGCCAGACTCTTATCCGGCCAACAGAACTTCTCGGCGGAGACGAGCAGCTTGGCTCCCGATTCCTTGAACTTCTCCACAATCTCCTCCAGAGTAGCTGTGATTACCACATCGTAGCTGTAAGATTTTTTTTTAAGTTTACATTATATAATGCTTTTAGTACGAATCTCTTACCTGTCCGTGAAGAGTATTATCGTTTCCGGATCATTCTTAAAAGGAGAAATGGCTTCACGCAACAGATTCAGCTTGAAACCGCCGCCGGGATGCTGCATATCTCCGCCCTTCCATTCCTCTCCCAGTCCAAGGGTGGTCACCTGATTAAATCATAATCATTATACTTTCTTAATAGATTATTTTCATCATCTTAACTATATTTTATGAGTTTCAAGACTGACAACTTGATATATAAACTATCTAGCAATAAAATACCGTAGCAAATTTGAACGAATTTTAATTTTGAGCTGGTTGTCCAGCGATAACAAGTAAAGACTAGAGGAAACTAAACTTTTGTAAACATTTAATGTTAATGTTAATACTTAAAAACTAACTGAGCTAGTAATGACGACGATTTACAAAGACTCATTAAAGAGAATTGGGACTTAAAGTATAAAGTTCTAATCCTGTTATATATATCGTTTCAGGTATATAATATTATAATGAAACACATATACATAGGTGTACTCTGTACATATGTAATCCGAAAACCATTGAAAGAACCAAAGATTCATTCAGCAATCGCTGCAGATCAAATGACTTGGGTCGCACAGTTCTCTGAATACGAGTATAATAAATAAACTCGAAACAAAAAGGGGAATGGATCAGTTTGAGCTAATCAAAAAAAAAAAAAAAGAAGGGAAAATGAAAAAAGCCGGCTTATCAGCATATTTTGATGCCGTTAATTTCTTGCCGAACTGGAACATACACAAAGTTTGTGACATCTTCGGGACCTGAGAAGCGTAAATCTGCCGCAATCAGACCAAGAGAATAGAAAGTTCCAGTGCTATCAATAGACCGGGAAACAAAATCGGACTGTATTGTGCTAATTACCCCGGCAACTGCACCCGATTCAGCCTGGAAGACTACGTGACTCCAACATGTGTGCACTGTATGTTGTCGCTGGCCCAGAATGTCCAGCCAATCTCCGTGCTCCACATCAGAGAATCGGACGCCAACGCCGGATGCTCGGCTAGCCGCGTACATTCACATATTCATATGTATAAACATATATTCCATGTACTGAGCAGACATTTATTTAGACAATACAATGTTGCTAAAGTGTGCCAAGCTAGCCGGCAAGTCTTGAAAGTCTTTTAAATTTTTAAAATGTTCTCATCTGTCTTATATTTCATGATGAAACAAAACATCAAATATAAGACGTATGTACATATAGGTTTTTATGCCATTTGGACTTCTTCAATAGGCATCAAATTAGAAATTCATCAATAAAAACAATCAATTCTAATTTCCATAGAAAGAGCTCGTCAAGTTTGCAAATTTCGGACATGGACATAACTGTATTTAATGTGCTGACTTAGATTTAAGGTGCCTTCCAAAAACATAAACCTGTTTCCATATTTAATGTGAAAAAAGCAGATTCAGAATTTTAGAAATTAAGGTACAATTTCTATAAGGAAATTTGTTTTTTTTCCCCCTTGACATATTCGACTAACAACAAACGGAAATTAATGCCCTTTCATAGGTTTTAGTATAAAATTATTCATTTAACAAAATATTTCCAATGTACCATAGTTAATATAAAATGTATTCCTAATGATTATTTGTAAACCACAACAGCTTTGAAATTTCAATTTTTGTTAGATATCTAGTGTGAACGACACAAAATCTCGATTTTTCATATTGTTCTAATTAGTAAAATCTTAAATTAAGTTTAAGTCTCACCTCGATGTCGTAGACGCGTGTAGATCTCAGATATCGGGCATAGCCATCGGTGGGTTCAGTGGCCACAGTAAACACTTTGACTTTTTCTGCGGTGGATTGAATTGATTGTGTGAAAGATTAATGATTTATCTAGATGTGTAAATTAATATAGGAATTAAAATTTATGTTTTTAGGTTACTATCATGCTGTTCTTTTTGTTCTAATGTAAAATAATAAAACATAAAAAAAACTAAATTGTGTCAAAGAATAGGAGAAGCTTTCGATCTCCAACGATTTTTACAAATAATCCTCAGTATTTATAATTAGTATCTGCTTAGCATTAGCGTGGTAGTGATATACAAACATAATAGTCTATTTTACATTAAAAAAAAAACAAAAAAATATACTAATATTGTTTTTTCTTATTTGTTACTCTGGTTTAAATTACAAAATCGAAAACTTAAAGAACCTTTACTGTATAGTTATGAAGTATTTTATTGTCCCACATCTACAATATGTTAATTGGATATACTTAAATTGATCAAAATAGAATGACAAAAAAAGCTAAATGTCTATTGTCTAAGCAATCAATATTTTATATTGAAAATTAACCGGTCATATTAATTAGGAAACGAGTTGAGCAGGTTTCAAGACAATAATTATGAATATAGAGAAATAACATAAGTTCGCCAAGGTTTGGCGTTCAAATAATTTGTATCTGCATTCTATTCGACTTTGTGCCTGCATCTGGGTCTTATATTTTGTATCTTGTATCTGCATCTGCCCCTCTTCCGGGCAATTCCAGAGTAACGACCCGCACACATCAAAGCGGAATAAAAACACAAACAAATTTTTTGAAGCGATAGGGGAAAGGGGGTAAGATATTCACATGTGTGTATAAACAAAAGCGCAGTGCCTACGTGAGTGCAACGATGCTCTCATGAATGCAGTGCATAATTTTCTATGAACGCTGATGAACTCATTCTAACTTAAGTCAGATATTATAAAAATAATAAATACAAACCATTTAAATTAGTCTCTGCATCTGCAACGACGTTGGCGTCGCTGTCGGCTTCGGCATCGGCGCTCACTCCTTGCGACGTCACAGCCAGAAACAACAACAACAAAAACAAAGCGCTTTGTTGCTTCACTTGCATTGTGCTGGATATATATTCCTTTTTCCTTAGGCACAGATTCCAAGACACTTTTAAAATGTTCTACACAGCACACTTGCCGTTATAACTGCAACATTTTTTGAAAAAAATCCCACGGAAATAATCACAAGTTTCACCGCCAGAAATCGAACTTCTGAAATTAACAAGCGAGATTGAGATACTGAAGGCGGCAGTGGCAGAGGCAGTGACGCCCGCTGAACAGCTGATTTGGCCAGTGTTGAAAACAGAGAAGAGAACAGTGGTGGCAGATTGGATATAATTCATTTAAATCTGTATAATTTTTGAATAGCCAAAATACTTCCTAAACTATTAATTTAATTTTCAGTCATTCAGACATTTAGTCGTACACGAAATCTCTTGGCTACTTATACTTCTGCTACCACTTAATTAAGATGTTATAAACTTAGCTTCTGTTTCGGCAATGCTCCTCCAATTTCTATCTATCATAAATGTATGCTAGCAAAGCTTTTTTATGATCCAAAGGGTGGAAAGTAAGGATTACTTAAATGTGTTTTAAAATAATAATGGTAGTCCGCACATCGAATATAATCGAATTTATCCTAGCGCAATATTGGGTAAAATAAAAAATAATGGGTAGAAAACTTTGGTAAAGGGTTAGCGAATTTTTAAACCAAGGCGGAAAAACTTGGATTAGTTTGACTAAAATGTTTTTGCAACTTACTTGAAATTAAATAAACACTTTTTTTCACTATTTTGGCATTTGTATGTTAATTGTAATAATATAATTTTAAGAATCTATACCACAAGTTCCCTAGCATCAGGGATTGCGTGCAATTATTTGCCCCTTTTCTTCAGAATTCAAAAGTAATTCCAAGAATATTAAACTTTCTTTTTATATTAAAATGACGTAATTATTTAAAAGTCGTATAAAAATATGTTTTTATTTGGTAGAAAACTTAACAGATTACAACTATATTTTGACAACTAAACCAACATACTGGCATTGTTATCGCAAAACTCGTAAATATTATCAACAAACTGCATTTCCTGTGTGTTTTTAGCAACTTGAAGTGTAACTTTTCGGGATGTTTGTGGTATTTTTGGCTTTTCCACCTTGTCTGCCTCAGTTGCCTCTAAGGTCAGACGTTTCAAATTATTAATCAATGAAATATCGTGTCGGATTTCATTTTTCAGTTCAAGGAGCTCGTGTTCCGTTTTGATGATATCCTCGGCATAGGCTTCGATATTTTCCTGAAGCTGCCCAACCGATACCTCCATTTCCGGTCCCTTGTACCGTTCGTTCTGCAATCGATATAATCGACACTTTTCGGATAACTGACGGGTGAGCGCGTACTCCCGTTCATAGCGAACATTCATATCGGCGTGCAGGGAGGCCAACTTATTGCGAACACTGTTGCGCAACGGCTTATCCTTGCGCCTTCTGATGCAATTGTTATTAATATTATAATTATTATTGTTGCTTTCGCTGGGAATGGCCGTCAGGAAGGTTTCCACCGATAACTTGGATGGTTCGTGACGGCTGCGCCTTCGATGTCGCTGCTTGGACACTCGATTCTCGGCCAGTTTATATAGCTTAGCCTTGGCAGCGTTTTCCGTGCCCTTATAGAGTTGATCTGGCATTATAACCAGAACCAGTTCATTTGACACGGTTTGCTTTTGATCCTTTAATTTATTGGGCACCTTGGGTGGCGTTTTGGGGTGTTTTGGCATATTCTTTTTGCTTTTCTTGAGATGAAACAGCTTCTTCAACCATTTGATCATTGAAAAACTTGAGTGAGGCTGTGAATGGGGCACTAACTGCATGGTCCGAGGGTCCTTGAAGTTATCGCGATGTTTGAGGGATATGCGGAGCTAAAAGTAAAAAGGATAAGTTTAAGGATAAATTAAAGTTCTGATTATTGGTTCATAAAAGGTACTGGTGTGGATTAAATCATTTAGCTAGATCTTAAGTAATCAAAAAGCTTATAACTTAATAATGATACTAGAAAATATAGGCAATATTTGATTTTAAAATAAGAATCAAGATTTTTAGCACTAGAAATGAGACTTTAAGAAGAATTTTTAAGTAAAACAAGCCAAGAAAAGCTCGCTAACGGATATATAATTCCAGCTTAAGTTGAAATTAATCCAAAAATACTAGCTTTAAAAAAGTGCTTTTCGATTCATACAAGAACAATCATTCAATTGTCTTCATGTTTCAATTCCTGCTAATGCTTGCTCTCATTTACACAACTCTTTCCTGTCCATTAACTAGATACGATCATCAAATAACAATTAGGAATATATGGTAGCCAAAGTTGTCCCCAAAGAACAAACGGAAAACATTAATCCCGCTGCTAATGGCGGGGATCATAAAAAATTTACAACATAATTAAGCCGAAAACGAAAACATGAACTTTAATACAAAAATCAATATAGGCAAATTGATTTCATTTGGTGCGTCATAAACAAATAAATACGGGAATACGGAAAAGGCAGCGGAGAGCATAAGTCAAATGCGAGTACGGCTGGTATATACAAACGCGGGGGTGTGACTCGAAAGAGGAGGAATGGGTTTTGAGAACGACATGAATTTCACATTTCTTGGCTTGCGTGTGGCGCCAGAAAAAAAAGCGCTTATTATGCAATCACTGTAGACTTTTTTTCGGGCTCTCTCTCTCTCTCTCTCTCTCTGTTTTTTTTTTTCTGCACGCCAGGTGGGATTCCCCCGGTCCCCGATTATTGCCATTACCTCATTGTGTACACGGCTCCAAGCGCGCCAAACGGGCAAAATGGCCATGTTGCCATCGTAGCTCCGCTCAACGCCGCCCCAACTTTCCGTTATAATGTAATCGCCGTAGTCACGCGATGCTGCTACCGCCGTAGTCCTCTGGCCGCCATCTTGTTTTTCCGCCATACGGGAAAAGTCGAAACGAAAAAGGAAAGCGGGCCGAAAAAAACAAGAAAAAATAAGAAACAAAAGTGTAATTGTAAATAAGAAGCATAAATAAATAAAAAGCCAAATTGTGATATATAGAAGAGAAGGAAAACGAGCAGTCACGACAGGATCGGCTGTAAAAATAAATTATTATTGACTTACCTTTTGGATTATTGCCGCAGTAATTCCCGTCCTTCCTATTGTTCAGTTCGTCATCAATCAGGGCCTTGATTATGTCATCGCAAGTCGTTTTGTTCGTCACTCCCGATACGTAACGCGGCTCCCCATCGTCCATCCAAATGGGGATTTCCTTTTGGCCCTGTTCCTGCGCGAAATTAAGAAAAAGGGGAAGAACAGGTATCATTAGGCAGGGTTGCCACACACTGAAAGGTGCTTGGGTTTTTTCTTGGGTAAATTCGCTCTAGAGTACCCCTTTTATTTTTCTATATATTTTACAATTTTAATTTTTACTGACCCTCCATCTTTATTTCATAAATTTAAAGGGTTGCAAGAGTCTAGGGATCGTAATTCTTAAAAGCATTAAAAAGTTATTCAGGGAATATTTAAAAAGTCTTTTCCTTTGATATAAATTAGGGCTATAGGCTTACCATCTTATTTTAAAATGTACTTGAAATATATAAATACTTTCAATGGATAATACTATCGCTTTTCATATTAAAGAGGACATTAATTTTTAATTAAATTAAGAGATCCTCCCAAGTTCTATAAAAATCTTTTGAAATATGGTTATGAGTTTTAATAGCCCCAATTGTTATAAGAACTCTGCTTAGTTGAAGGAATTAAAATGCAGTCTACCCTATAATTGAAAGTTTCCACCGATTTCTTATGCAATCGACGCACACTCAGCCCTCAGAGTTTTCCTCCCTTTTCCCTCAGTTTTCCGTGGAAAGTACAGTGCATGATGGCGGGTTACCTGGTAGTTTCCCTGTTTGTGCATACATATGACTAACGCCCAGAGCTGGTGCCGGTGCTAGTGCCTCTGCCCACCCAATTAGATGATTTGTTTGATTTCAGCGGAAAAGCCGCCGCAACCGAAATGCAGGGAATGGGGGTGGCAGGTGGCAGGTGGAAGGTGGCAGGTGGCAATTGTAAGGTAAAAGGGGTGCAGGCTTGGTGGCAGGACATGAGGCATGGTGTGAGGTGGCACTTACCACAGTGCTATTAACGCCGTAGAGGGAAATGGAGCGATGGCGACGACTGGCCTGGCCAACGTTTCCGTTTTCCTTGCCGTGTTTATTTTTGCATGTTACGGGATTAGGCGCTTGCTCCTCGAATGCAGTCCGCTTATTATTATTATTATTATTATTATTCATATTATTATTGTTGTTGTTGTTGTTGCTGCTGCTGCTGCTGGTGGTGTCTTGATTTTGACACCGACGACGGGTGGGCAGAATGGGGCTCTCGGGTAGATTCAATAGCGATGGACAGCTGTCCAGATTATCATCGATGAATGTCGAGTTCTGCTGTTGCGGCGCCATATTCCTTATGCCGTATTCGTATCGGAGGTAAAAACCTCTCTCGCTAATTGGCAACTGCAAGGAGAGAAAAAAAATAAAAAAATGAAAACATATATAGTATATAGAGTGAACATGCAATATCCTTGTTAGACATTTTGTTGGTTCAGCCGGTTGTTCGTTCGCTCGCTCGTTCGTTCGTTCTCCTACGCTTAACGATCAATTTAGATTTTCTACCCGCGATTAAATAAATTATGCAGGACCTCTTGCCACACACACACTACATTCCCATATATGTTATATATATATATAGTACATGGTACTGGCATATAGTATAAGGTTGCACCTCGCATATCCCGCAGACAGGACGACGCAACCCCATCTAGATTCCTAGAAAATTGCCTACGAACGTCAGTCGGCGCCGGTGTGCCATTATTCAGGAACATTGCCGGCGTTTAGCCTGTCGCACTATCCTCCCCTCTCGGAAGAGGCCTACTTTTCCCATTTCCCCACCATTCCGTCCATTTTCGATCCCCCCAGAGCCTCCCCTTAATTTTGTTGTTCGGGGGGCGTTGTCCGGACCCTGCAGTTTGTATGCAAATTCTGTTTTGCAGCCGAAAAACATTTTCCTTTCTAGTTCAATTTTCCCTCTGACTATATTTTCCTTTTTTTTATTTTTCGTTGCAATTGGTGGCCCGACTGACTTATGAATTAATGCTAATTTATGCCGCCGGAAAATGCAGCGAAGGAGCTCAAATTATATAGATTGCTTGGCGGTGAGAAAGTGCAGAAATATTTTTGTTTGGTAAATTACAGGGAATATGTGCAGGATCTCTACATAAGTTAAATAGGATACTATTTTTGAGGCTTGCAAAAATGTACCCAAATTTAGAAGGTTATATTAAAATTGTTAACAAGGGGAATATTAAAATATTTATTTAATTTCCTATAAAAATATAGAATGCCTTTTGTTTATTGTAAAAATGCCTCAAATGTATTAGAACTTAAGCAGAAATTAAAAACACCCCTTAAGTTTTTGATATATTCAATTTAAATGCAATATTTTAAAATTTGAACGACTTTTAATAACGTTTTCATCACCTGAATTATAATGAAAGTCTTTCTAAAGACAACGTATTTGTTAAGTATTTTAACAGGTCCTTATACCGGTCTGTTTTCCAAAAGGAAAAATAGAAAAAAAATCAATAAATTAATTCGAAACAGAGTTAAATTAATTAGAAACTGAAGAAAAAGTTTCTCCTATTAAAACTTTCCCTATATTTGCTTACACATAAAATTTGTAAGACCCTGAAATTACATTAATATAAATTAATTTATGAATACAGCAATTAGATTAAAAAACTGCAGTTAGTTAGATCCCTGAAGACCCCCAATGGTAGGTCTAACCTTTCCCCTAGAAAATTCAATTGAAATGGAATCCAGAGAAATTTCAAGAATTCCCTCATAAAATATTTAGTTGCTCTCCGGACAGGTGCCTGAGGTATGGGCCACGCCTCCGAGTTGGTCTATTAGAGAAATGAGTTGTGAGTAGGGCAATTTGCAAAAGGATTTCCATCTGCCACCATCACCATCAGTCCACTCACTCCTGTCGACAAATATCCTTCGCTGTCTCTGTGTCTGTGTGTGTTTGTGTCCTGTCCTGCCTTTGATTACGCTGGACACCTGGACATGCCAACCAACATTCATTTAAAAATGTAATTTCCAATCAAGATAAGTTCAAATGTAAATTTCCTTTGGCGAGGTCAATTACTGGGCTCAGTACCTCCCCCCTCCACCCGCGTTGCACTTAATTGTTTTGTGGCATGGATGGGGGTGGGCAAACGCCCCCATCCCTTATTACACATTTATGGGTCTAGGACTGAGGGTAAGGACTACACACATTTGACCCCAAAGGTTCAATGTCTCGCGAGTTTGGTCAGCGATTAGGTTTCACTCTTGGAATATTATATTTTTAACTGTTTCACAATTTTAGCCTAGCCCCAATTAATAGTTCCTTGTGTTTCCCGTGTGCGTGTAGCCCGGAAATTAATTTTGTTTTGTTGGTAATGCGCATTGGATTCTAAAACTGAAAATAAACGCGTAGGACTTACAACGCAAACGTGACGTTAGCGGCAGGATTGGTAATGGGAGGCGTATGAGTAATATTGCGATGGCTGTGATTTGATAAGGATTTTCGAGAAAGTAAAGCTAAAGTTCCTTTAAAGAGCTCTTGGCTATATTTAGAAGGAAATTTATAGCCTAATTTCTAGATGAGATCAGAGAGGGAATATTGTAAATGTAAGTATGAACGTAAAAACGATATAACATGGACATCGTTTCTTTAATTTTCCCTCAATAGAAGTGGTCATTTTCCAAAGGAATACAAGAATTTTTGTGTACAGCTTTAGTTTTGTATGTAATGTATTTGGGATTTGCGAAAGTTATTAAAGGTACAACCATTAAATATGATTAATATATTTAATGTATGCTTTTTATTTTTTCCACAAATTGATTCTTTGCGCTTAATATAATTTTTTCTACCAAAGAATTCTGTAAAATGCTGTTAAAATATTTTTAACCCAATTAAAGTGCTGATTCTTTGCTTCCTCTAAAAACTTCTTTAAAATCTTTTACACAATATTTCAAGCCCATTTTAAATACCCTTTATTCAACCATCTATTCAGTTTTCTTTAGTTTTCGGATTTCTTAAGTTTTTGTAAGATGGTGAAGGCCTTTTGCTTAAATTTTGGCACCCGCAGAACCACAGAATATTGAAAATTAACTGTGAATTCTCCCAGTGCCAAGATTCAAAGAGGGCAAAGTTTTAAGGACTCAAGGATTCATAGCAAGGATCAAGCTTACACAAATCTTAGCCAAAGATCAGCTTAGAAGATCGCTTACCTTGGGTCTCTGGCTTCTATGCTCCCAAACTCCTTCGTAATATTTCACTTTTTCAGGATGATCCTTTTGGCTTTTTGCTTTGCTTAGTTTTTGGCAATTGTGATCTGAGGATGGTGATTTCTCTGCTTCACTGCCGCTTCACACATGCTGCAGCCAGCAAGGACATGCTAATCCTTTGAGCTTTGACACTTGACTGAAGTTCAAATTTGAATTTGCGGCTATGTAAGGTGAGCCGACGTCAACGGCGTCGCTGGCTGCGCTGCTCGGCCGCCTACCGGCCGGATAATGCAGAGGAGAGAGTGTATATAAAAATTTTTGTCTAGATCTAGACAGGTGCTAGTGCTGCCGTCCCTGTCGCGCCTGGCACTCTAGATTCGAAAGCCGCTAGCAACTAGCATTCAAATTCGCCGCACACGGCACACACAGGTCCTGCGAGGCTCGGCTCGGCGGTTCGGGTTGCCAGGAACAACGTAGCACAACAAATAACTGAACGGCGTATCCTTGGCGACGGCAAGTGACTAACTAAAATTTTATTTGCTACCACACAAAACTTTAAAGCAGAAAAAACGAGCTCGAGCTCGAGGAAACGCACACTCACACACACACAGCCGCACCTGGCGCTGTGCGACAGAGAGGGAGCACCGCCGCCACTGCCGCCCGCGAAAGAGAGAGCGTCCGAGGGTAGGTTCCCCTTGGTTCCTGTCCAGTCCCAGTCCCATGTCCCTGCATGCCATGCCCGTCCTGCCCCTGCTGTCGTCATCGGGCCTGAACGGCTGCCACCGTCTTTGGCCAACCACCAGCCACCACCGAAATCGAGTGGAATATAGAATATAAACGCGGCGCAGCAGAGTGTTCCTACCAATTTCCACCTAGCCCTAGCCTTCTAGACCTTCTCTTGAGAACCACTACCACTACCACTACCACTACCAATGCCGTAGCCACGACCACTCCCTCCTCCGCTCTTTGTTGCAGTTTCAGCTATTCCGTAAACGAACTATAGCGTGTGCTACCCGCCAGCAACACCAACACCAACACCAACATCAACACCAGGACACAACAGGAGCAGTGCCAGCAGGAGTCACTGGCAAACACCAACACAAGAATGCACTGTTACAAAAAAGTAGAGTGATCACATAATATTTAGCCTTTATCGATTTAAGCTTGAGCAAATCTTTTAAAGTGGTTTTCTTAACTGATTTTGAAAAGTTTACACCAACCTCAGCTGCTTGATGGGATCTTATTAGTATAACGATATATAGATCATATTTTTATTTCATAGTTTATTTCTATAAAGGAGCTTCCTTTATATTCATTTGGATTTAGGAAAATATCGAATGTCAATTAAATTTCATAAAAATATAATACATATTGACTATAAATTTCTAATTATAATTAATATTATTTATAACACTTTTATTTAAATTGCTTGCCGATAATATATTATAGTTCAACGTCTTGATTAATATCAATAAGCAAGACGATCTAGACTTCTGCTTGTTGGTATGTGAAATTTGTTTGTTAGTTTTAAGGATAATTGTACGATTGAAGGTCTTACCTTATCATTAATAATAAGCTATTAGGGTTTAATTCCTAATTTTTTAAAGGAAGGTCTCGGAGATCTGAAGTTATTAAAAAATTTAACAATTATACGGTTTGAATTTCTTTAAAATCGGACACTTAGATTTAAATTCTACTATTTAAATAATTAAGAAAGAATAATATCAATTTAAAAAATTTATTAAAATAAAAAAGTGAATAAAAATAAAACTAATGGTTTATAATAATTACCCTCATGATACTGCTAGTCATTCCATATAAATATTTGGAAAAAATATATAATTTTACAAAGTTTTTGCTACTGTTAGTGTTCCCATTTTATCTCAGTGTATCCATGCCATGACGCGCACTTTGCGTTATTTGGTAAAACGAGATTGTTGATAACGTGCCACCAACAACAGAAACAGCCAACTATAAAAAACTCGCGGTACATAAAAAACGAATTTCTGCCTTGTTTTTATCCTTGCCCCCCCTCTGCCACTTTCCCCACCCTCGACACAGTATATTATGCCACCCCCTATGTGTTTTTTTGCTGTGTATTTTATTGTTAATGGGCAGCATTTGCT